CCATACAATTACACTCCGTATATAATTTATGTATGTTCAAAACATGGTGGGTAACTTTTGTCACTTCACTTGTTCATAGTCGCAAGTTTTAATTATGTGATAGTACGTTGTCCTTAAATATGAATAAAGTGTATACACCTGAAGAAACCTCAATGAGATATAGCAAATTCATATTATTCGTTATATATTTGTTTTCTTTTCAGTTCAGTCAAAATATTTTTCCTGTGGTTATCAATGAAAGAATCCGTTATGGAAGCTATTCAAAAACCTATTTTATAACTCTATTATATATTCATGCGATTTTTCATAACAGTAATGTATGTTCAAGTTAAAATAATGTTGTGAACGGTTCGTTTGAGTCGATAATCAATATTCTGATTTATTAGTGTATATGACGTTCAACTAGTACGATCGAATTTGTATGAAAATCGAAACTCTAGTTGTCTGGAAAAACCATGACTATTTAACATTTAACTATATTCCAATAATAAGTCAATATTTTGGCATCATTCACTTCTAATAAATCAGCACCAGAATAATGTTAGCCATATAACAATGAGATAGTCATTATAATTCAGTGATGGGGTGGCGACTGATTCTAAACATAGTGAGAACATCAGAATACTATAATGCACATTATTTTATCTGTCATGGCTCAACTCAAAAGATTTTTGCTTCTGTTAACTGGTTTTTAACGTATTTAATGCTCTTAGGAATTTTTTCCTTATTGATCTTCTAATAGGAATCAGTAAAAGATGAGAATGAGTGACCGAAAGTTTTTCATATCAAAAGATTGGCTTTTAGAGTTAGATAATTGTTGTCAACCTATTTATTGTCAGTAAACTGACAGCCGAAATTGTTGTGTTTGTTGATTCATTGAATTATGATATATGAGATTTTGTTCTACTTGCTTCTTCTTAACGGTTCCAAGAAATCTGTTAGTTGAATATCCAGTACACTACTGAGTACAGAGTGTAACTTTGATATAATTAGCAAAGTTTGTATGTCTTACAGTTTTTAAAATAAGTATGACGCCACAAAATTCATTATCCATAGCTATAATCTCCCTAACCTAGTCAGTAATAAATGTTAGATTCAGATTCGGTCATTGATACTATTTCAATCACAAAAGTGGGTCAGTTATACTCTGACAAACACTATTTATTTTGTTGAAGTAGTTAGTGAGTTAAGTAAACATCATTCAGGAATCTTTACATTAATGCACTAACTTTTTTACTGTTGGTTTTCAGCAGACTACTTGAAATGATATCAGAAAATAAAATGTTTTCATTAAGGGGTTGTGTGGGTTGTTGAGTCTCGTTGAAATCATGAATCGGTCAATGTTAGACCACTATGAAAAAACTGGAAGCACTGCACGGCTGTCTCGTCCTAGAATCGGGATCCTCAGCGGTGCGCCTCAACGATCTCGCACCCACAATTGTGTCGGTTATGAGGCAGTTACCCACTAAAGACGATGGAGGATGATCGCACAACATCGCAGATTGGTTGAAGTTAAACATGTGAGTAAAGAACATTAGATTAAACAATAGAGAGACCGCAAAGCTAAAACAAAAGTTAAACTCTAAATCATCAATTCTAAAAACCTTTAAACTGTATGAAATAAAGTACTGATGTTCTTCCCTTAGCCAAGTGTATTAATACATCTTTTTTAGGATACAAGTCAAGATGATGTATTATCTAAATTGAAATTCATTCTTACGCTGTTATGTTATCAATTACGAAATTACTGATAGTGGAATGTCTCAATTTCACTACAGGTTGTACACTTTTTCATTAATATCATGATCTCAACTATTAAAATATCAGATGTTTTAAATATATGCAAACCAAGTGATCTCTAATTGATCAATAATTAGGAGATGAATGGTTAGACTATGTCCCCACCTGTGTTCTTGTTCACTACAATAGCATCAACACAAAGTTGACTATTGGGCTCCGTCGAACTCGTTTCCTGCTCCTAGAATTTGTCTTTTACATACAGCTGGAGTTATAGAAATATCAGTTGATAAGCATGATTTTTTTGTTCAGCCTATTAGTTTACTATGGTCATCCATTTGACCAAACTCACACTACTGGTACTTTTCTTAAAGCTGTATTATTACGTAATCTAACCCAACAAATTGATAATCAAGTTTTGTTTGCACTCGTCTCATTAACTACTCATTGTTATTTTACAAGCAACACTATAAATTCATATTCAGTTGCTTAATTTCAAAGTTGCTCAATTACTTTCCTTCTTCTTACATAACTAGTTTAGATAAGCAACCGATTACATAATTCTGATTTAGGTTAAAATTTGCATCCGTTGAATCATTATCTTTAGACACTGTTAAACTGACTCACTGCCACTTCCTTAGTGTTGACTTTACATTTAATTATAAAACCTACATATTACTACAGAACCAAGACGGAGAACTATTTGGGAGGAGATATTTCTTCCCTCAACCTGTACTTTTTGCAAAGCATATAATCTAAAGAAATGAAAACAAAACAGCTATTGGGATTAATTCCCAATCATACTATCTGAGGATTTTATTTGTAAATTACCATTTTATTGGTCTGCATCTACCGATAAATCTAAGTCTAATAACCGATTACCTAGTGAACTGCCTTTATATTTTTGTCAGGTTATTTCCGGAAACCGTGTCTAATAATTCATTGGTAAAAGCAACAGAGTCTATGACGATGCTCTTTTACGAAAATAAGAGAGGAATATTGGGAATAATAAATAACTTTAATTTTTCGAAGTAATATTTATTGTCAGGTTCGATAGCGTACTTATAAAAGTAAATACTCTTCGAATTCCCTTATTTTATTGTAGGAAATTTAAAAGTATGATTATTAAAAGTATATCCAGTCGAGTTTCTGATATGACTAGTTAATAAACTATAACTTTTCCGTGATTTTTTATGAAAATAATTCATTGTCTCAATAATATTATTTAGCAAAGCACTAGATAAGGTGTGGAATAAGAAACGATACATCATTGAAGACTTTCGTTTAAAAAATAAAGCATGCTAAGTGAAGTAACATACCAGAGTTATCATCAATAAGTTGTGGCTTTGTATTGACGAAGGTCAATTAGAAATTCGAACGTGTAACATTAAGGGAGCCCAGGTTATTCATGAAGTTATGATCCCTATTGTTCCGTATTAATGTTAAGGTTACTTGAAAAGCTATGTGAGAATGGATTTGATTAGATTTTGTCGTCTAAGCTAAGAGAATATCTATCAGTGAAAACTTACAAAGCAATTTCGATTATATCAAAAGAAGTGACGATACTGTTATACAAGTCTGAAAACATTCCATTATACCATAAAGCTAATGGATTGGGGAGAGTCAGACTTTTAGCAATGCAATAAAATTCTGATTAATATATTAACTACCTGAACCATCCAGTAATACAATTCATAAAACAGTCCAATAAACAAATACAGCCTATCTCCTAAATTGTAGTTCTCGGTATTAAATTGTGCTAAAATTTAAATCTGACTCATTCTCCTCCTGTTTTACAATATCCAGAGCCCTTTATCCTTATCAAATTTTAGACGCTATCATCTTCCTAGTGACTAGATTATCTTTTAGTCTGTTAATTAGCTAATCCGTTTAAGGGAAAAATTAGATACATTTGAATACACTAGCTTTATTGCTGTTCTATGGAATTAAGAATCCACTCAGTCGAGAACTAGTTTTCTGTTTCGCAAATTAATTGTAGATGGAGTAATCGGACGGCAGACTCATCTACCGTTTATTGTTTCGGTCAGTCATACACAATGTATAACCTGGCACATGTTTACATTGGTTCAAGTTGCAACACCATATTAGTTCAGAGATAAAATTATTAATACAAATCCAATAGTTGAAAGATAAAACGTGAACAATATGATTATAGAAAGCATGTGATCAGACAGATAAAAGTAATTGGTAAGTTTTGAGACTAAGGATCTACGGGGAAACAGAAAGTAGGTGTATCTGTTTAATCACAATTGATGCTGAGGTACATCACCCAAAGTCTCCAAACACTGGTTACGACAGCGGCGTTGATGTTAACCAATTACTACAAAGCTACTCATATGGCTCAGCCTAAAAGTCAACGACTTCATTGAACACTGTCACGTCTTAATTATTTTGGTCACCTTTATAAACAATTGTCTACGCAAGATACTCAATGTCTTTTGGCTGGATACCATCAGCAACAACCTACTGCAGTACAGAGCAAATGAGCTTCCAGCTAATAGGGAAATTAGGCCAAGACGCTAGGGGTGGACAGGGCATTCATCACTGCATCACGAGGCAAACGCTAACTTGAAATCCTGAAGGGAAACGGAGAAGAAATACACCAAGAAACACATTACGTCGGGGATCGGAAGTAGATGTCAAGAGAATGAATAACAACTGCGAAGAATTGCCAAGAACAGAGCTCGATAGAGAATCCTGGTGAGCGGACTAAGCTCCTCCACGAGGGGTGACAAGTGTAAGTAGCTCATACATCATGTAACATCCCCTCTCGTGGTAATAGATGGACGGGCATAGGTAATCCATGTCCCAACTACCTCAGTCGATAAAGATTCACTACCTAACCGAAAGATTCCCCAATCTTATCTAACATCTTGCGTCTAACCTCAGAATCCCTAACCCGATGTTCTCAACACATACGAACAATGCTTCTTAGGGATTTATAACAGAATAATCGTAACCTACGAATATCTATTTTTGAAGGTTACATTCCACAGTCATAAAGTAGAACACAGTTAATTGCTATACCGTACACTTGTCCTGTGGTTGGTAGACGGACATCTCCCCTATGTCACAAGTCCATCGAGCTTTCTGAATGTCCTGTAATCTCATCAGACACCAAAACACCACAACTGTTGGGACATCCAGGATACTTTTATTGGTTGAGGAACTCAAATAACGCATTCCTTATGATTGGTGGTGAAACCAATCCTGGAGCAACATTTTGCATTTAGATGGAGAAACGCATCAAAAACATGTCTACACTGTTGCTCAAGACGATCAGAAGACTCTACCTTCTGTCAGAGCCTTCGTCAAATAGAACTGTCATCTATCTCACTAATACACGAACGTATAATACCTGTTTCACTAGTAATTATGAAACGTTGTCCACTATTACCTAACGCTGCCAGACTTTTTATCTCTTTCGCATTCGCTGCCTATTATTGGTTAGTCTACGGTTGAAGTTACGTTCGCCCATCATCATGTTCGGAATTTGACTATATGAGTTCCCGAGCGTTTATCAACTTAGAAGATGCCCCCGAAACCGACTAACATTCTTTATCCTGTTGGTTTAAGTAACCGGTAGGTATTACTGCTATTTTTAAACCTATTAATTGTTTGTGATTAACAAAGCTCCAGTAAATATCCGTGTCAAATTGTCAAGATATTTTATTGCGAAAATTAGTTATACGAAAGATCACAAATACTTGAATAAGTTTTGTTAAGAATAAACAAAGAACTCGAGTTTATGACCTCCTGTCGACCAAACCACTACATCGAGCGATCAATCCATACCATTTTAACGAACTCCACAGAAACGTAATTAGTCATGCTTATATTCTGCATAAAAAAAAACAGCTTAACATCGATAAGATAAAACTGTTATTTCTAATCTTGGTAACACGCTCCAACCCAGAGTATAAAAACACTGAACATTAACTAAGTAGTAAAAGTTTCATTTTTGCACTGAAACATGGGGTTGAAAGAAACGGTTTTATACTTGTTTTTATTCTAAATGAGCCAAAGCCACAAAACTTTAGCATTAACATAGAACAATGAACAGAAAACAATGGAAACAATACTTGATCACAGTAAAATGGAAAATCTTGGGTTCACTCAGACATGCATGAATATGAGCTAATAAATTATTCCATTCATGATATCAGTATTCGGGGTGCTGTATTTAACTGAAGAGAAATGACAGTAGGAGCTGATATTAGTATTCGGACATGCCTCTGCTGTGTGATGCGAAGCCTCCACCGACTGGTCTAACCAGACGCATTTGAAGATGATTTTTGAAGTGACAAGGAGGGTTACATGAAAAACGTACGGGTGAACTTGTACTAGGGAAGCCAAGGCCTGAAGACATTTGCGAAACCGTAGGTATTTGACGTGGATAAACGTTGGAAGGGTGTTCTTCTAGGCTAAATTTGTACTTACTGGAACCTGAAGATAGAGGGTTATGCTTTGAACAAGTTGCAATTCCTATGACATCACAACTTTGATCTTTTGGATGGACGACTTCATGAATCTCAGGACCCATACAATTAGAAGAGAACGTCGAATTAATGTAAGCAAATCCAGCAGGTTGACCGTTAGAATCCAACATGCGGACGGTCTTTATCTGAAATCCATTACTTTCATTATTGAGACACTTTTCCTTGAATTCCATTATGCGGCGTAATTGGTGTTCCAAGTGTTTTGTTGCCAAGTTGGTCCGTGATAACTGGGTTCTTAGAGCCTAAAATAAGATTTGTTAAATACAAAGGAAGTAACGAAAATCATTACAAAGGAAACTGACCCACGAGAAAATGCACACTGATAACGGTTTGAATCGTGCATAGAAATGTGAGCCTCATTGATAAAGCTTTCGAACTGAGTTATATTACCTTAACAAAAATCATAAAAGTGTAGATATATCCATACTTCATCTTTAACTAAATCCTGAATATTTCAATAATTTAGTCTTATTATTAGTATTTTTTCGTCTAAAACTTACCACTTATCTTTGACTGATTTTATTTTTTATGATAATTATCTACCGATGTGTTTAGTATTAGTGTCGTTTAAAAAAATCGCGTAGAAATTGTTGAGATAATCAATATACTTGTGTTCGACTCTCAGCTATTAAGTCTTGGGTTCGAACCCTGTTTCGCTTCAGTATCACTAGCTTTCACACACAAGTAACTGGTAAACGAATTAATTTTTTTTACTTTACGCACTAACGTTTCGTAGAACGAGAAAAGATTTTAGCCTACTTCTCTTAACTCAGTTAGTCAGCTACAACGCAGGACAAGGCACATTTATGCATCGGTACAAGTTGCCATACCTCGTTAGCACAACAAGATGAACACCGGATTCATAGAAATAGTTAATTTAGTGGTGGTAATATATAAAAGATAGGTTCTATATAATGTTATAGTATAGGAAGAAAGAAAGTTATGAAGCAATTTTTCTCTTAAGGTTTAAGGGAAGATGAAGAGTGTATACACCTACGCCATTGTGATAGATTCTGAGCCATGTCACCCAGAGACTCCAACCATTGGTTGCGATAGTCACGAGGACCCCAACTAGGTAGTCTGCATCTACCAACATGGCTCAGACTAGAAGTTAGTGACTTCAAGCACTGATGCCATGTTTTGGTTTGGCCGCCCCTAACTCTCTTCCAACCATCCCCTACACTGGTCAACATTGCGCGTCGTGGTAATCGGTGTTCAGGCATGCGTAACAAGTGGCCCAACCATCTCAGTAGATGAAGATTCATGACCTCATCAACTGATTTACCATCATTCCCTAATACCCTGCGTCTAACCTCACTATTACTTACCCGGTTATCCCAGCAGGTGCGAGCAATATTTCTAAGGCATCTGTGGTCAAATACTGGTAACCTACGAGTATCTTCTACTCTTAATGACCATGCTTCGCAGCCGTAAAGTAGAACAGAGCGAACTGCTGCGCAGTATACTCGTCCCTTAATTGATAGACGGATATCTCGTCTTCGCCATAGGTGACGTAAGTTGGCAAAAGCCAAACGAGCTTTTTGAATCTGTGCTGAGATTTCGTCAGACACCAACCCATTAGGGCTGATGAGATAAGTGAAGTTGTCGACGCGTTCGACTACTTCACTCCCTATCCTTAGTTCAGGTGTTGACGCAGGCCAGTCCTGGAGTAACAATTTACATTTAGATGGGGAGAAACGCATCCCAAATATCCTGGCATTATTACTCAGTTCTAACAGAAGACTCTGAATTTTGCCAGTGTCTTCACCAAACAAGACTATGTCATCTGCATATTCTAATTCGATAAGTGAACCTCCTGGTAGAAGATCAATTCCTGAAAATTCAGTCGAAGAGATTGTTATTTCCAGCAACAGGTCTATAATGAAGTTAAACAAAAATGGGGATAGTGGACAGCCTTGACGGACATCACTTGAGGTTGTAAAATCATGTGACAGTTCGCCATAAGCTTTCACTCAACTGGTAGTGTTCGAGTAAAGAGCCTTCACAAAGTTTATGTACTTCTCAGGTACACCTTTCAATGACAGACACTGCCACAGAACCTCTCGGTCTACAGAGTCAAATGCTGCTTTCATGTCAAGAAAAACTATCATTGTCGGACGCCGATAAGCGTGTCTGTGCTCTAAAACTTGACGAATGGTGAATATGTGGTCGAAACAGTCACGACCAGGTCTGAAGCCAGCCTGATTTTCTCGTGTTTGCAGTTCACGAGTCTTAGTTAGGCGCCCGATAATTATTGAGGCTAGTATTTTAGATGTTATGTTAGTCAGATTAATCCCTCTATGGTTATCACAGGATGATTTGGACCCCTTTTTATATATTGGGACAATCAGTGATTGTGACCAGTCGAATGGGATTACATCCGTCTCCCAGATTTTAGCCAGAATATTAGTCAACCTAATGGCTAAAATCGGACCACCATATTTAAAGACTTCTGGAGCCAATCCATCTGGACCAGCTGCTCTTCCTCGTTTCAGATTACCTATAGCCTTTTGAACTTCAAGTAGGGTCGGGGGGCCTACTTCAATGTTCCATTCAGGTTTTCTGGGAATAGTGGGTAGTTGTGCAGTAGCTGAAGGCCAGCTGAACTGCTACCTAAAGTGTTCTGCCCATCGTTCTAAACGTCTGGGCTGAGAGCAGATAAGGGTTTCATCTTTTTCCGAGATCGTTTCACTTACGCTTGACTTCTTAATTCCGGTTTCTTTTATTAGTCTGAAGAGTTGCCTGGTGTTGCCTACAGCCGCTGCCTTTTCCATCTCTTTTGCTCTCGTTCTCTTAACTACACCATATAAAATATACAATGAATAAAATAAAAGTAAACCAGAGTCATCTTTACATGGAATAAGACTTTCCTTATTGTTTTACACTTAGAAGTGTTACTGTTTATTTAATTTAAACAAATTTTTGAAAAACAGTTAAATGGGGTACATGGCCTTATTATTTAGTACAGAAATTATTGTCTTATGTTACTCATTGTTGTCAAAGTGCATATTTATCAACAAACAACCAAAACATTCAAATATACGTAGTTGTGCGTGATTCTCGGATAAATAAAGACTTGAATTCACAGCAATAACAGGTTGTTTCTTAATGAATAAGTCAGTAAATATAAACTCACCAAAGAAAGAGTGCATTAGATAAATAAAATGCCAGCTTCGTACCCAATGAGTTTAAATGATATATAAAAAACCGGAAGCTTCCAACTCAAGAGCCATAAATCACTAAAAAAATATGAATATATAACCGTAAAAATCATGTCTCTTTATTACTAGACTTGGATTTAGACTGATACATACACGACACAAATACCACTAATTTGGATGCTGTAGACTGTGCACACATATCTGATAGATACTTGAACCTAAATGTCATTCGCGTTATGCTGCTTACAAAAATCTTTGGGATGTCAAGACATGAAGACTACTTTGGAAGTTGGTATATGACTTGTGCGAAAACATATATTAAAAATAGCCTACCTGAATTTCAACGACCTCTTCCTCCACCTGGGTGGCTAAGTTTTCCACTTCGGACTGCTTTTTGCTGGCACATTTACGTGCGTATTTTCTATTTTGCAGGCGACGCCTCCGACTACGAAGTTCTTTGTGTTCCTCAATTGTTAAACGTTTTTTTTCAAGCAGCAATCGAAGATCAGCTGTTGTCATGTCCACTAACTCATCATCCGTTAAATTCAAACTCATCGTAGCTCTTGAACGACGAAGATAATCAATAGTTATGATACAATTATTCAAGTGTAAGCTGTGTAGATCGATGTAATTATATTTTTAAGGCAGCAAAGACAAGCAAAACCGAGGCGAGACTATAATTTATGGACGACCTTTGAACGAATCTTAAGTGACCTTGAGAAACATTAGCCAATCAGGAAACAGTTAGTATAGAGTAAAAATATATCATACAACATCAAAGAATTAAATTGGATACACTTCTTGTAAATGGTTCAAAAATTTTTCACGGTTAGGAAGAGGTTCAAAGGTCCTAAAATCGTAATACATAAGGTAGAGAAACTCATCTATATACTCGGTCTCTGGAGCCTTGATAAGGTCGTAAAAACTCTCTCAGCCTCAACCACACAGCTTCAATATTGTTTGTATGTACTCCGGTTGTGTAGGTTTGTCATTTTTACTACGCATATATCCCTACAATACTCATACCACTGAACAGCCGAAGCTTCAGAAAAATTTGCGACTGTCGCAGATAATGTTACTGGTGCTTTTATTATATAGTTCGCAGCAATCATTATAATTTGCCTCAGTCTTTATCTGGATCGAGAGAAAAAAGTTCCTATTCTAGCAGACTTCTTCCTCTAACATATATCGAAAGATAACATCGTCAAAGTAGTCTGCACAAGGTCTACAAGTCAATCGATTACCGCAATTACAAATAAAGGAACTTTTTAGTAGTCCCATTCATTGTAAACGCTTAATTGTCACATCTGTAAAATCCTCTGTGAAATGATTGCTTAATCTCATATTTTGTTATTCTCTCACTAGTGGAAGCACAAATCAATTTAAATGTGGGGTTATAAGCGATGATCACCGGTAAAATCACGTCGAATATCTAAGAGGAAAACCTAAAAAAATTATAGTTAGGTTTCCAAAAACTTTAAAAACAATAGTTTATAATGGATCAACACCTGGTAACCCAAAAACGAAGTGATCATATTACGACAGAATAATGTATACACTTCAGTTACACTGAAGGAGGAAACTACAAAACTCACTAGATAACACATTAAACTAGACGGGAAAATTAGTTGCTCAATAAACAGTAAATCGTGATCGTATCTTGACCACACAACCTAGGACACCGGTTTGGCAAATCAAAGGCCCAGAATTTCAAAGAACTTGTAACGGTGGGTTAGTTGTTGACCATACAACCATAAATGAACACATTATGCCCTGACAGATGTCACGACTGCCCCAAAACAGACTGAGTTCAAAATTTCAGCTTTCAAATGAATAATAATCTTCTAATTAAACCAGAAAATGAATCAGCCTCACAATCCTCCTTTCTACAATACGGTTTTCAATATTCTAACACAGTACATATATTAATTCCATTTGTATTTATCACCAATAACGATTTAATTTCTTCCGAGATAACTGTGCTGATAACAATAATATCAGATAAAGATATCGACTTGTACTGTTTCGGATCTACGAAGGATATTATTTTGCGCGAATAATGTCTAAAAACATTCTCTTGATAATAAGGCCTGTAAATTCAGGACCAACGAATTTTCTGTAGCTAACCCCTCCACACTATTTTCAACTTTGTCACATATACTTACAGTGTGAACAAATTGACCTCAATAAACGAAAATGATAAACGGAGTGACCCTGACTTCTCGAAATCCCCGCTTACATCCAAGTGGTTCAAATGATTGTGGACGGAATAGAAGTAGCTTTCGCTTAACGGGCTTCCGTGTCTAATACTTCCAGGCAAGATCCTAAGTATTATAACGATAATCGGGGAAAAAACTAACTTGATAAATCAAAATAATATGTTCCTTATATAGTCCTTAAGAATATGTCGTTTCTCTTAAAGGACTCCTGAGAATTCACGTGAACTAGCTCAGTCTGCATCGAATTTCAGCATTCGATAACTCTTAAGGAGTAGAAGTTGTGTTTACAGTCTGTCCTGCTCTGTTGGGTCTCCAGTTTCTGGGTGTTACCCCTTAGGTTAATGTTGTGACTAAGTGATGTTTAAGGGGATGACCAGAAATGGTTAGGATACTGTCAGTTATAAGAAGGTCACATCTAAGACACCTAAGACTTCAAGTCATAGGGTACCAACACTCCTAAATCCGGTGAATTTCTTTAATGCTGGCGTTCGTCATTCAAAACTTTTAACACGAACTTGCAAAAACAGTTTGCTTATTTTGAGTTCACCTCTTGTTGTTTCAGTACGGTTCCAGGTATTTGAAAATATCCACTGGGCGGTAGGCTAGTGTGGGATTTGTATAAACTAATGGTTCTTTTGTACTTGACGACCCGCCTAATTCGGATTTCAAATATAATATGTTCATTGGTGCTCATCTAGTTCTACTTGCTGTAAATTGTACTACTTCGGAAATTTCAAGTCAGTACAATGATGTGAGTACTTCTAACTATCACGTCTAGTCACTCAACTGCAGTTATTCTAGTCGGTGCGGTAGTTATTTGTATATCTGTTTGTAAGATCTGTGAAGTCTCAGGCCCGTGGCATTCTAAATGAAGAAAATAGTAATGGTTTTAGTCAAAAATGAGGAACAGGAAAATAAACAAATTACATGTTTCCATGCAAAGAATTTACGCCACTGAGATTAACGCCGAGTTCATGAGTATTAGCTTAAGATCAAGTTGGGAACTACAACTTATTAAAAGCCAGCTATGGGAGTAACTGTAGTTCCTTTGTCTAAGACTAAGTTATTGCAATGGGTCCATATCACTACAACATTACGAAGTTGTTATATCCTAGCGAAAACATACGTTCGAGTAACTCCCAGAACTTATTATTGAACTATAATTCTTATTATATAGCTATTCAGTAACTAGATTATCTATCTCTATATCCATCTTATTATAAGCTTCATTTTGACCTATTGATTATTATTATACGGTTTACTGTTCCTAAACTATACTCAGTTTATTGATTATTGTCTCCCACATTTACAGCGACATTTGGCTTGATTTTGTGCAAATATTATTTTCTATTTTATGGTGTGGTCTGCCTGTCTGGTATATAAACAAAGTATGCTTGAAATAAACGATTCGCATAGATTCGCATAGCAGAAGCTGCTATTAGCGTTTTAGACTCAAGTGAACGGGCTAGGCGGACGAAGGATCAATAAGGACGCGAGATTACTCATACTGATTGGACGTACTTGATCGTCACCGTCTTAAGGTCGTAGAAGTCATATTCTATTGGTGGATAATTCACGCGAGTTACGTCCTTGTTTAACTTGTGAGGTCATAACAAATTAGCGACGACCTTGAGCAAGTCATAACAATTGGCGACAACCTTGATCAAGACATAACAGAAATGAATTAGCATTATTTTAGTGATAATGGGAATATAATAAATATGATGCATCAATATAACATCTTCGTGATTCCTCCTGTTCCGCACGAATTTCAAGCTCTCAACTTCAGCTTCCTGGAGCTTCATACGCTGCAATGTTCCAATGTATACATAATTTCACACTGATCGTTTTCTAGTTGTGACGCTTAGGCACGCTAACGGAAATGAGCGAGCAGCTCTACTTACTAAACTGATCTGCTTCATTACATGCTTCAAGCACTATGCTTAGGTATAGTATAATTACATCGACTAAACTGAATTATACGACAATCAAGAATAATAAACCAAGCAGATGTCATAGCTGTTGTTTCAGTTGCAAAGATATGTTACTCAAAGTAGTTAAATGTAAATAATTCAGTCTATGAACTCAAAACACGAATTACAGGCCAATTAGACTTACCTATCAGAAGATAAACAATATTGTTTTGGGACTGCAGACAACGGTCGTTTACTCATAAAAAAAGTTTGCAGCACAACAAATCTTTCTCCAGTAGTATTGTTGATTGACAGACTACTTAGAAAAAATCAATGTGATTAAACTTACTTCGACTTAGGATAACATACCAGCATGCAATGCACGTCCGGCATAACGCAGTCGGACGTGGCAAATAAAAATCACAACCAGAGGAAAATTCACAGAATATTCTAGTTCTTTAATAAAAAGTGGATCATAATATGACAAATTAAAGACTACATTAACTTAAACATGACCGTTGTTTCAGTTGGCTGTACTTTAGGTTAACGCGATAACGTTGAGCATAGCACCACTAAATTATGATTATTATTAAGTTTTGTCTTGATATGCCACAGGTATCTTAAGTTTGACAACAATTTAACCAGTAACGCCCTCTCTAATTGAATCGTATCCACGCAGTGAAATCAGAAGTCAGAAGCGAGGAGGTTCGAAGATATTGATGATGCAACGGATGTTCTAGTTTTACAACTAGCTACCAGTAGCACCTTCTATATTTGATCGTTCCCAGTCAGATAGAAATCAGAAGTCAGACGAGAAGAGGCAGGAAAGATATATTTGATTCGTTATCAATATATCGAGGACCTTTTCTATGAGCTGGCTAATGAAACGTAGGAGCTGTGTCCCACGCGGTGTTGAAACGTGATCTGGTACGGATGCATGACCGAAAGCCTTCAGCTAAACAAGTCCACTTAAACACGTGGTCAGCATCCAATGTCGAACACTTAATGAACTATTGATTTTGGGGAATTATTTACAGCTACAGATCACTCCCCCCCTACTGAGGTAGTGATGCCCCTAAGACGTGACCAGCCAGAAGTTTAAACCCAACGAGTTTGTCGTTGGTAAACAATCTTCTGATAGTTTGCTTCGTTTAGCAGCGTCTGGTCGTCTTTCCTTAAACTATGGGACCAAAATGTACAACATAGCAATAAAGAAATATAGTACAATGAAAATTTCGGTTCCTTGCGTTCTTTTCCAGCCGTCCTGGAAAAGAGAGAAAATAAAACGTGTGAGTGCATGTCGGAAATACACTCGTACTTGCGTAGGGACACAAGATGAGCGGAAGAAAAAAAACTAATACACTTACCAACAGCGTAAAAGCGATCAGGAAAAGTGTTTTTTTGTTTTTTTTATATATAAAAAATATCTATATACGCTCAAAAAAGAGATAAAAATGTTTTGTTTTTTTTGGTTTTTTTATATAAATAAAAAATTATCATATTAAAAATTTTTTTATAATGAACTATGGAAGGGTAATTCAAGATAAAGCTTATGTCCTACATGCAATATTCGTTAAGATGTTCTGGAAATCTGACTCGTCTTCCAGAACGCGTTGTTTTAGGTTTTTCTATCGACGTTGACGAAGTATCAAGTTGTGTGTCGGTTGTCGTGTAGGGTACTACGAGTGTAGTAGCTGTGTCGTTTGCTTGTACCGAAGGAAAATCGACGTAGCTAGGGTTTCCTTCTAGGTACGCAGCTTTGAGTCGATCGATACTGATGCTATCTTTCGTACCGTTCTTATCTACTACATAGTACTTAGGTTCGCGTTGAAGAACTTTGAAGGGTCCTTCGTATGCTGATTCGAAGGGTCATCGATGTGAGTCTCGACGAACGAAGACGTGTGTACTATGTCGTAATTCGGGTTGAACGAAAACATCAGTTGATTGAGGTCGAGTGTGAGCAGGTTTAACTGAACGCATAGCGTTTGTAAGCCTACTCGTGTAAGAGTTTAGATCCATGTTCAATTAAGAAACTGAAGGATCTACGAATTCTCCTGGGAGTCGAAGTGTCGTTCCGTAAACGAGTTGAGATGCCGTGTATCCAATGTCAGCTTTCACTGCATTGCGGATACCTAGTAAGACGAGTGGAAGAGCGTCTGTCCACTGTGAAACGTTTGCGGATGATAATGAAGCTTTTAGTTGTCGATGAAAACGTTCTACCAACCCGTTTGCTTGTGGGTGGTAGGCGGTCGTTCGGAAGCGCGTGATTCCTAAAAGTGTGGTCAGACAATGGAAAAGTCTAGATTCGAACTGGCGTCCGCGGTCTGTAGTGATGGTTGAAGGGCAGCCGAAATTTGCTACCCATCGTTCGATGAAAGCGCGGGCCACGGTTTCAGCAGTAATGTCCTTAATCGGTACTGCTTCTGGCCATCGAGTAAAACGGTCTACGCATGTTAGGAGATATGAGTATCCGTTCGAGTCGGGTAAAAGTCCTACCAAATCTAGATGGACGTGGTCGAAACGAGTGTCAGGGGTTTTGAAAGAACCTAAGGGACATTTGTTGTGTCTGATTACCTTAGATTTCTGACAGCTTACACAGGAGCGTGCCCACTCCCTCACTTCTTTATTCATACCAGGCCAACAAAAGCGTTCGGCTATAAGTTTGACAGTTGCACGAGCACCTGGATGAGAAAGATTGTGCAACGTATTGAAGACGTTGCGGTGATAATGTTTTGGTACAATTGGACGATCCCTACCTGTAGATGTGTCACAGAGTAAGGTTTCCTTACTTGTTCCCATCTGCTTAATACTTAGTTTAAGAGTTGTCGAGGATAACTCATGCTGAAGATCAGTGTCTTTTTTATGAAGCTGAGCCAGTTTAAGAAGGTTGATTCCTTGGAAACTGCTCAAGGAATTTATTCGATACAAGGCGTCTGCGACTACATTGTTAGCTCCAGAAATATGTTGTATGTCTGAAGTAAACTGCGAAATGTAGTCGAGTTGTCGAGACTCTCGCGGTGAGTACTTGTCTGAAGATGAACTTAAAGAGAAGGTAAGAGGTTTGTGATCGGTAAAAAGCGTGAATTCTCTTCCTTCGATGGAATGTCGGAAATGCC